ATACTACACCAAATATAGATATTTTTGTCAGAAATAGGTATTTGGAAGTCTGGGTAAAATTTTTGACTCAATGTGCAAACAAATAGGTTATTCTGTGGTCTCTTTAATGAACATTAGGATTAAGTGCCAAGCAAGTCGGATGTGAGGTGAAGCACAAGTCTATTTATCTAATTTTAGAGACATGCATTGTCACCTAATTGGCAGGCAAGGAGCTGGAAATGTTGTTGAGCAATAGCAGGTAGAACTTCACACATATCCAACACAGATTTGGCTTTGGAAACTCAGCCTGAAGAAGGGCTGGACTCTTTCCTGGGAGAGGCATCTTGACTTATGTACTGAACAGCATTTCAGATAAACACAATCCTTTTGAGTCCCTAGATAATATACTGCAAGGGTTGTTACTGGTGGTCGTGGTAAATGGCCTGTACGCTTATATAGCACTTGACCAAAGCACTTTACACTACATTGAGTCATTCACCAACTCACACACTGATGATGACGCGCTACATTGTAGCCACAGTTGCCCTGGGGCTTACTGACAGAAGCAAAGCTGCTATACATGGGGGCAACCCTCTGACCAACATCAGTAGGCAACGCAGGTGGCAATATGGATGAAGCGTCTTGCCCAAGGATACAATGATACTAAAGGCCGGAGCTTGGGCTTGAATCGTCAACCGCTTGATTGAAGGGCAAGCTCCTGCATCCGACACCAAACAGAGGGTGGATCTGGTTCTGAGTAATAAATTGTTCACCATATAAATAATCACAGACAACCAGAGTTAAAATATTGGTATCTTTATGTCTAATAATCCCTATTTCAGTATTATCATATCTAATAACTATGCAACACTACAAAATTAGGCACAAGATAAATGAAAGGCTAATAAAAAGGGTAAAAAGGGGTCTGTCCAAAGAGAGTAGGGAATGTTCAAGTTTTATGGCTTGATATGTTGATAAATTTAAGCTTTAAAATAGCAGCAGATACATATAATTGACAACTGACATTTCAGATATCTTAGACACAATCAAAACAGTGAAGCTTCCTTTGGTTTTGCAGTGAATAATGAACAGTGACTGCTTTAAACAGTTAAATGCATTCAAATGTAGCTGCACTGGAGCAAAGTGGGTTTGCTCAGGTCTCATCAGGAGACCAGGCAATGAGGGAGGTCCCAGCCAAGACAAAGGACTATAAATCTTTGTCCAAAGATGGTCGCCCCCACGTATACACTTGGCTGAAGATGAGGTAGCCTGAAGCTAACAATGGTAGCCAATTATACGATAGCACCCTGACTCTAGACAAAGGGAAAATAAACAGAGACAAACCCATACAGCATCCTCTGGCTCAGTGAGAATAAGCATTCAGTTCAGAACTCTTTTACTTAAAAACCATCAACAGGTAAAATTAAGAAACTTCTTTGAGGCAAACACAAAACACGACACACAAAAAATATCTATCCTAACCTCGCCCAAGCTTATAGTACCTCAGTAAACATCAGATAAAAAGGGAAAAAGGGGTTTTACTGTGTCTTGACTTGGGTAGGAAGAAAGGAATGATGTTTGGTCTGGTTCAGTTTACAAACCCAGTCCACCTGCTCTAACACGCAGCTCTTGGAGAGACTTAAAATGCAAAACAACAGCGGAAGATCTGCAGGGCTTAATATGATCACTTACAGCAGCTCTGAGTAGACGTCTCATCAGCGTTGTTGCAGCGGCACAGCTGCAAAACAGCAGCAGAATCAGTGAGGCACAGTGAGGCAAACAGTTGGGCTAGGACCATTCCATGGGTGGCAAACAAGGGTCTACCAGGTGAGAAAACAGTTTTTTTTCCTCTAATTTTTTTTTATTTTGTTATATTTTGTTCAGTTGTCTTTGAATCATAAGTAGAACGCAGCCTGCTTCGCCAGTGAATACAGACTCTTCTCTCGAAGGGGTGGCAACATAACAGCTGAAGACCGGTCTATCTCACCTAACAGACCCAGAGTTAGTTGAATGAACTGAAAATTCTATGTATGGGGCATAGATCTGGTCTTCAGTGTTGCATGGAGGACTGAACAACCATTGCCTTGGATTGGAACTGGAAAGTGTGTTCCATTATAGCCTACAACACCCTAAAGACAGATTGGTAAAATTCAACCTATGAATTTTACCAATCTGGTTGATATTTATGTGTTCAACCAACTTTCTGGTTAAAAGGAAAATCTTATTTTGTAGTGTTTTTAACCAATATATATTGGTACAAGACCAATACAAATTGGTCTAGCAAACCTTTGGCTACAAGGCAAACTCCTGCATCCAACACCACTGTGCCCACTAATGCTTCTTAGAACTTACTAAAAGTTAATACTTGTTGCAACCAAGGTTAAAAGCCAAGATCTGTATGCTGGACACATACACATCACTGTAATTGTTCTCTTGGTCTATAATTTACAGTGGCCAGGAATGCAAAGGAATTTTACATTTACCTGAGACACTTTTACAAATTTGACTAAACACGTTTATAAGTTGTCTGTGTCTGTCTGCCTTGCTTTATTGTATCTGATATGCACAAAAACTACTATGCATCGCAGTGTGAAAGCTCTATAATTCACCCTTGACAACTCATGAAGCTCTAGTCTGAAAATAAAGTTCAATCTGAACAGGCCCACGGTTTGTCAAACCCATTAAAGTGTTTTGTCAAACATGTGTTTTGCCAAACATCTAAAAGTGTTTCAGTAAGTTTTTAAGTCTTTTGTCAAACATGTAAAATTCTTTTTTCAAACTTGTAGAAGATTTTTGTCAAATATGTGAAAGTGTTTCATGTAAATGTAATAACTATTTCACACTACACCCGACTACAGCCAGCGAAGTAAACCTGTTATGATTTTTATTGGTTGTGTGGTTAACCACGTAAATTGGCTGATCCAAAACCAATGGCTTGGTCAGTTTCCCACTAATATATAAATGTAACAAATTCTGGTTCAACCAATTCAATAAAAAAAAAATTTCTAACGATTCCATTCTTACATACTCATATGAAAGTTGAACAATGGGGCTTTGGCCCTTGTCAAAAGTCTTTTCCTCTCTACTGTCGCTACAAGCATGCTTAGTGTGAGGGATTGCCTTTTAGTCAATGAGTTGATGCAATCAACTGGTGTTCCTTAGATAGAAAACTTTGAATCAATTTGACTGTATGATTTGGTTGAACTGTAAAGTGCCTTGAGATGACTTGTGTTTTGAATTGGCGCTATATACTGTAAATAAACTGAATTGAATTTAAAAAAGGTATCTATTTTGTGCAACATTTGGAGAAATACATAAAAAAATGGTTTTGAAATTATACATTTCACTGTGAACCTACAAGAAGAGAAAACCTATCTACCTACCTACCAGCCAACAAAAAAATATTTTCATTTTTTTCTCTTTCCAGTGTGTTGATCTTGTACAGCACCAAAATCAAGGCATATTCAAAACACTGACACAAACTATTTAAAATGATTATGCCTCTCTTCACAACTGTAGGTTATGTAATTCCAATATAGTCACACTTTATAGAAGGGCAGATCAGTTTGCTTCCCCCGTTCAGGACCTAGAAGCTACACCAACGTAGCATCTCCAGACCTCCTGCAATACATTCTACTGTGTATATATTGTATATAGTATATTTTATGTTTTTTTTATTATATATATAGATTCTGTATTCTGTACATATATATATAATATTTCTGCACCAACACCAATTTAAATTCCTTGCAAGTACAAAACTACCTGGTAATAAACTTGATTCTGATTTAACCATGGAACATTTTTATACATCAACAGTTTTGGTCTTCTGTGATTTCTTTCTGTATATTTTGAATTGACCATATATCAGTGGGTTACTGCCTTGACTGGATTGAGTAGTTTTCTAAATCTAAATGATAAATCAGTATGGAAAAACAGTTAAATGGCTTTGTGAAGTATTTGACAGAAGGACATGCTAATTAAACTTGCTTTGGATTACCTATATTACAATATACAAAAGTTGATTGGCCAAAATTGATTTTTGCTTATTTATTTTTTTTAATAAACCATTTTTAAGACGTCTAAACTGCATAAAAGATAGTTTTCACAAATTTTCATGAAATTTTGGGTACAAATTCAAGTTTGTTTTTTTTTTACCACCTTTGAAGTTTTTTTTATTTATTTTTTTTTTAAGAGCAAAATGAAGGTTTTATTAAAAACATTTCTAATGAAAAAAAGGAATATTCAGAAAACGTATAAAATTTGTAGCTCCTTATATGAGGATTCAGACTAATTATTCCACATCAGTATAAAACACAGCCGAAGAGATATATCAGTCTATTAAAGCTCACGGAACTGGAAAAAGAAAAAAACTAAATAGGTCATAACATTTAAACAACAAACTAAGAAAATGCGATGACCAGAACTGGGCTAAGAACTCCTGTTGACATTAATGAAAAGATTAAATAACTGTTTTGTGTGGGCCAAAGATGAAAGCAGTGAGGATTTTATTTGCTATGTATGGGTTTAAATCATCAATTTGTAATTTATTAATATAAATAACATAGTCAAATGCGGTTACTAATGTGGATTGATGAGGAGTCACAATGGGACATTTTTGAAAAAGGGAAAAAAGCAGAACTTATGAAGCAGATTTTATGAGCAAGTGTGGAGAGGACAAAAAGGGTAAAAGGTCCAACAGAGGGAATCTGGAGTATTCTGCTGACTCACATAACACTAGAATACAGCCGAGTCAGCTATTGCGGCAAAGTGAAAAGGAGATCAGCTTTTTTTCCGGTCTTTATTTCCACTGGAAACCTTCACAGCTTTAACCCACTAAGACTTGACCAAAAAAGGTCTCAGTTTAACATAATGATACAAAAGAGCTCAAAACGTAAAAGTCCTTGTCCATAAATAACCAGGCATTTGTTTTGCTTTTATTAAGATTGAATAAATATTAAGACTTTATTCCCTCAGTCAAACACATTCTGTTAACTAATTGAACAAATGCAAAACAGAAGAGATGATTGATCATAAAATGTTAAACAGAGTCTTTGAGTTTATGACCAGTCAGGATTTTGTTGTTTCATGAGAGAGCAAGGGAGAAGAGCAGAGTCGTCAAGGTGAGGGTGTAGGCGGTTTAAAGAGTCCAGTCTTTCTCAAGTAGCGAACGATGAGTGGTACTGACACCACAGTGATGCTGATACGAACAGGAGCAAAGAGCTTGTGGATGGCATAGGCAAGGACAAACGTGCTGGTTCCTGCTGCCATTTTAGACTGAACCAGCTCCTCGCTGAAGCCAAGTTTGCACAGCATAGCCGCCATGTCGATTCCACTGCAGAGCCAAAATACAAAATCAGTTAGAAATATCACAATTTATCTATCTTTATTTATTTATCATAAATGAATAAAAACATTTCCTCATAAATCATTTAGAACGTACAGTAAGATTATTTTTCTTATAATTTGTGTACAACTGAAGGATTCAGATGGATACAAAAAAATTGAATTGAAGCATTTCACTTACTTTTGGTCCTTAATCATTTTGGTCCTTTAATAACAGCATATTTTATAGAACACCACCCTTTCTGTGCCTGAATCAATTTTATACATTTCTAACACGATGTTCATAATTATAGTCAGGCAAAATAAACATGAAAGGATTCAAAACCCTTTTTACTTCACATATTGTCACTCAAATGTGCATAACTGCTTTTCTGTAATCTTTTCTGGTCACTTCTTTCCAAATTCTTAGCAGGAAACCTTTCTAAGAGACCTCACCTAATTTATTGATAATATATCGATCTTTCCGTTCCTTATACCGATTTAGAAAAAAACAAAATTCCCCTAAAAGAGTGCAGGGAAATGCGCTACTTCAGCATCACAGTTGCAGAAGACTGTGCCATTGAGCCTTTTTGCTGTTCAGCACAAAAGCACACAGTGGCAGACGCAAACTGGCTCCAAATAGCAGCTTAAAAAATAACAGAGTAACTGAAAGATTAATATCTTGATTTTCAGCATTGTTTTTGTGTCTATATTTATTTTTAGAATATCACGATATATCTGATTTGGCAATATTGTGATAATATTGTATTGTCATGCATATTGTACCACAAACCCTTGCCAATAACAGAGATAGATATATAAACAATAGAAAGTCTTGATCTAACTAATAAAGCCCCTTTAAAAGTATACTAAGAAATGCTGTCATTTTATGTATATAAGTTGTTAGAGGTATAAACAGCTGTGTGCTTTTTTTTTAACAATTATTATTCTAAATATTGGAGTTTTATACACCAAATAAATCTGAGTTACATTAAAATAGGTAGCCGTTTTTATCAAGCTGCTGCATTAAAAGATTAATCTATCTTAATGCTTTTTACACATCTTCACCATGTGTACAAATACTGTATGGTAGAAAAAAATAATGACTTTCTTGTGAACAAAATAAAGGTAAATAAAGTTTTAAACGCAATCATGATGAAATGAAGGTACTTAAAGAAGCTGTGACATTGGTAACTTGCAAGTGTGTGAGCTGCTCCTGTACATTAGTTTTCTGTTGTGTTAATACTACACCACAAGATGGCGACAAAAGACAAGCTGATTATTACTTTGCATTAGGTCTGAGCTTCTAGTGTTAAAAATAAAGATGAGAAATGTTTAACCAATCTAATCAATTCTGAATTGTATTCTCTTTTACACACAAAAACTGGCCCACATTTTTAAAATATCGCTATGATCTGCTAATGAGAAAAATGTAAATGTTTTAAAAAGTTTTTAACCGCTGCTGGATTAGTTATAAAGAGCAGTTTGTGTGTTTCCAAAGGGTGATGCATTTTCCTCAAGAACTAGTAAGTTTCTCACTTTTCCCTTCAAAGAGTTGACCTCAGCCACAAATGTCGCCTTAAGTTGAAAAAACTCAGTCTGTTCTGTATTTCCCCGCTTTATAAAACAGGGTTTTGTTTTCTACAGTTGTGTCCCAATGTCTGAGCTATTTTTCTGAAATAAACATGCAAGGAATGCAGTCTTAAGCTGGCTCTATTAATATAGTCTTTCTCCCACTTTAACAGTTCCCCTAAACTCAGCATAGTGAAGTCTGCTAAATATGTGAATCTATTCTGCACCGTCACTAATTTTTCCCCTGCTGCATGCCATAACTCATTGTGATAATGCTTAAAGTCACTCTACATTAGAGTGATTATCAACTCGTAGAGAAGGAAGTATCTTCTTCATTGTGCATTACTGTCAACAAATGGCAAAGGGGTGCAGGGGATAAAGAAGAATTTGGGCTCTCTGAATGAAAAAAACACTTAATGTACCTGCCAAATGTATCTGAACTCCTATACTTCTAAATAAACCATATATTGTTTATACATTAAAGGAGAAGTTCGGTTTTTTTACACTTTAAGCCCATTTTCTGTAGTGTCCAGGATGAAATCGAATGATCGACACCAAAAGTTTGACAATTGCTCCTGTCTCTGCTATTTGGCTCATGCAGAATCCCCCCCTGGCTGCTTTAGAATGGCTTGCATAGAGCATGTCCGATAATGTCCTTAAAACAACCTTAAACGTTCTTTTTTTAAAATATGCTACTCACCGGGTCGTCAGCGCTGTTCAATGACGTTCCAAAAAGAGTTTCGTAAAGAAAAAACGTCCCTGTAGTGTTTTATTTAGCATTTTGTAAATCCCATTGAGTTCTGTAGGAATAGTCAATATACCCCTGCCACCGGAAACGGAAATGGGGCCTGTTTACACAGTTGTAGTCTTTTCGCTTCACTCTGTGTACTCCGACGTCGAGGTGCTAACGTCTCTGTTAAACACTTTAAAAAACTCTGAAAATCGAATACGAAAGGTGGATTCTTGATCATTCGATTTCATCCTGGACACTACAGAAAATGGGCTTAAAGTGTAAAAAACCGAACTTCTCCTTTAAGCAATGTGCGCAAGAAAAGCAAATCTGTCACTGGAAGGAAGGAAGGAAGGAAGGAAGGAAGGAAGGAAGGAAGGAAGGAAGGAAGGAAGGAAGGAAGGAAGGAAGGAAGGAAGGAAGGAAGGAAGGAAGGAAGGAAGGAAGGAAGGAAGGAAGGAAGGAAGGAAGGAAGGAAGGAGATTGATGATCATTGATCACTGTATTTTGCTACCAATAACAAAAACAAATTACCTGCATCCCTTACTGCATACGTAGAAGACAAAGCCCCCTGTGTGCAGCACTTATATCCCTTTCCTCTACATTCTGCATGTGCATGGCATCAAATCTGAGAGAACAGTATTCTCCGCAGTATAGGATGCACTGAATTATTAGGAGGACTTTCAATGAATGGTTTTTTTTTTTTATATGTTTTTCATATATAAAGACACACTGGCCTATAATATGCCTGTAATATCTTCTTGCTTCCTCCACTTCCATAATATATATTGATTAATGCTGCATTCTCTCAGAGCTGCTCTATTACCATGCCCAAAAACAAAAAAAGAGAGCAAACACTGTGTCAGGGTAACTTGAAGAAAAAAGAAATTAATGGACTACATTAGACTTTTGGAAGTCTTTCGTGTTACCTTGATATAAGGAGGTAGAACATTCCCAGAGACATTAGAGAAATCCCAATATGAAAGGAAACTCCCACTGCTCCATATTCTTTGAATACTTTCTTAAGCTGCTGTGTCTTGTTGGGTTTTCCTTCCTCTGGCTCTGGTGTGTTTCCTGGGTCTTTTTCTTTGCTTGAGGTAGAGGAAGCATCCTGGAGATCCTGGAGAAATAGAAAAATGTTGGGGAGTAAAGAGGAGAATAACGTAAGCTTCCAGAATCAGGAATAAAATACAAACAAAAGGTGTATGAATTTTAAACGACTATCTTTTATGCTGTAAATATGAGTGAACAAAGCTTGGTCTTTAATGAGCCTCCCTATTAATGAAGCATGAGACTCAATGGATTAAACACATTCTGCTGCCGTCTCTGTGAGCTTTAGATAATTCACATTACTGCACACTCTGTCACACTCATTAAATGCGTCAGTCAGAATCTCCCCCACACACAAAGAGCCTCTCATTGGCACACAAACACACAAACGACTCTGCTCGTGACCTTGTGACACAAGCACCACACCATCTGCAGCCGGCTGACACATTGCTTAGGAGAGGCAGGCTGCTGTAGAGCAAGCGCGGGGTAGAGAAGTGAGTCAACGTCAAACAAAAGAGCCAAAGCAACCTGCAGGCTGCTCCAGAGCACTGACACCGAGGTGGTGAGAGTTGTCATTACCAACAAGAAAGCAAACTTAATCTCCCATCTGACAAAAGTCACAGGAGTTGAATTCTATAACTCCAGTCACGCTTAAAGTAACAGAACCTGTGTGACCAGATTCAGGAAGTTAAAGAAGTGTAATGATTTGGATCAAGGATTAGACCATGCACAAAAAAAATCTAAGCAAACCTCACTGGGCATAAAAATCCCCCCCCCCCCCTTTTTTTTTTTTAAAGAATCAATTAACTGAATTTTAACACTTATATAAACGACAAGGTAAATGTTTGACCCTTTGAGCCAGTTATATAAATCTACCGAAATTTAAAAAATGACCAAAACTACTACATTCAGAACAGTCCTGATAATTTAGGTTTTAGGTTAAGGCCACCGTTAGGTCCCATTTGTAGTTCTGTTTTCTTTCCCAACTGATAAGTCATTTATAAACAGAAGTTTTTGCAGAAAATAATTTATATTTTGTAACAACCATCTGTTTTTCAATGTTATGACAATATCTCCACAAGCAGGGTACAAACTGTTTTCTCTATAGATACAGGTTATAAGCCAATATGTCTCCTAAATATTTAATGTCTGTAAAATAAACCATATACTAAAACGTTTTAATCTACAAACTATAAAAACAATTCTTACAAAAAAAAAACTGACCCAAATTATTTACAGCATGTTAAGTACATCTAAGAAACAGGATGAACAGGTCTGGATGAAATGGAAGGAGTGGAGTACACAACAGGTATGAATTAGAGACACAGGTAGGAAAACACAAGGGGGTAAAAAGTTCCTGATCCCAGTTAGACACTTTATATGATCTAAACATACAGTTGTTTCCCTTACATTTATTCTCCAGTGAGTGTGAATAAAGTTTTAAACTACATGGTTTAGAAAAGACAATGGAGGTTTATTTATATAGCAATTTCAGAGGCAAGACAGTTTAAATAGGAAAAAGTGACAGAGTCAACATTACAGTGCAAACAGATAAATACTGTCACAAAATGCTCATCCAGGGGGAGCAAGTCCTGCAAAGTCAATGACTTAATGCAATGGCTTGTTTTCCTTAAAATTAAAACTTTTAATCAATCTGACTGCATGATCTGATTGATTTGTCTCTGTAAAGTGCCCTGAGATGACATAAAATGCATTTTACAGAAAGATGAAAAGAAGTAAATAAAGCACAGCAGGTGAATACACTGCATCAAAATAAGATATTCTTATTGTAAAGGCATTAATATTTGCCTTGCACTGTTGCTATATAACTATAACTATCCTAAAATGAGTGGTACTCCTTCAGCTTTTACCTTAAATGCAAATAAATCTTTAGCTTGGGTCATCAAAATATAACCTTGGTGTTTGCTGGCAAGAAGGCATCTGAACTGGTGGTTTAATACGGCAAAGTTCCCCTCTCAGTCAAGATAAAGCAGGATTCTCAGAGAAAACAGGAAATGCCTGTGTTCTATTTTCAGGCCAACACAGGCTGGGTGCTTATAGCGCTGAACCGTTGGGACTGCATTCTTGTAAAAGCTCATAAAATTCTTAAAATACATCAATGAGGTCAACGTGCTGATACAGATAAGATGTGAGATACTACTGTAGATCAAGAGATATTAATGTGCCAACATTAATTTTAATTTTTATGGGCAAATTGAATTGGCAGATGGTGGGAGTAGAGGGACAACTGGGGGAGGTGCATCAGTGTAATACCAGCATATTTTAAGTCCTGTCATCATTAGAGGCAGTCTGAATCATGGATAGAGAAAATATCACACCAACAGTTAAAATCTTATATTTGCGCTCTAAGGGACCAAGCTTCATCTGCCAGGGAAGCACTATCAATTAATATATTCTGAAATTAAAACATTGACTAACGATTAAAAGGTACTTTATAAAATTAAGGGTATTCCAGCTAAAACCGACGGAGCCACGTTTGTTTAGCTTTAGCCCTCCGCCTCTGGTTGATGCCTTGAGATCAAAGACTTCACTGCATTGGTCTGTAACATTTCTGTATCCAGGCAACTGTATCTGCTGGCTCCTGGCAGGATGTATCTTCGGAGGTCTGTCAATTCACAAATCTCGCAACAATTTATCTTGCTTTCAAAGCAACAGATAAGGTAAATGGCCTGTACTTATATGACACATTTTATAGTCAGAGGACTTGACTTTCACACTACAAACAGTCATTCACACACTGATGGTGGCAAGCTACAGTGTAGCAAAAGCTGACCTGGGACTCACTGACAGAAGCAAGGCTGCCATACGCTGGCACCACCAGTCCCTCTGAGAACCATCAGTAGGCAATACAGGTGAAGCGTCTTGCCCAAGGACACAACTACACTGAAAGCCGGAGCTGGGGCTTAAACCAACAACCCTCCGGTTCTGGGGCAAACTCCTTCCCCAGTGATTTGTGCATCTTTCTTGCCATTATAGTGTAAGATAATCCTTTGTTTGAATCACATTTCTGTTCAGCCAAGTTTATTAACAACTTACCACGCTCCCCTCTGTAAGAAATAAAAAAATTACTTCTAAAGAAAATTTCTTTGAAAATCAACTCTTCCTGCATTTCCGAGTTCCCAGCTTTTTTACATTTAACAAAATCACCTGTTGAACATTCTTTTGACTTTTTATACTTTAACACAGCCAAATGGGCCATGTTGTTTTAATTTGTGCAACACCAGGACAGAGGTACATTTGGTCACCCTATGTGCAGTGGAAGTCTATATACCAGAGGTCCTAAACTCAGATACTTAAATGTTGGTGTGCTGCAGCTTTATGATGGGTCAATAGCACTACCTCACTAACCAGCAATCAAGCCTTGCAGAGCTCTGCCTATTAGCTGACCATGGAGTCACATGTGTTGAAGAAGAGATGCATCTAAAAGTTTCAGTACAATGGCCCCTTAGAACTGGAGTTTAAGACCACTGCTCTACGCATCTAGTTTGACAGAAAAAGAAAATCACATTAGAGCTTTCAAAGTCAGAAGCGAATTGGTGTGACCAGACCTTAAGCCAGGGATTGGCAACTCCACTCCTGAAAGGCCAGTGTCCTGACACTTAGATATGTTACTGCTCCAACGTACTCGAATCAAATTATTCAGGCGATTACCAGGACTTTAGAATCGTAGAACCTCCGTATTGATTATGGAATTCCACCATTTGATTCAGGTAAGCTAGACCGAGGAAAAAAACGTTGAATCATACCCTGAAAAATTGGGGTACATCAAAGGCTGCTTCCAGAATCTAGAAAGTGGTACAGTTGGAATGACCTGACTGAAGTCCTTACTTCAACCCAATTGAAACGTCATGTAATCAGCTGTGAAGAGCTCAGACCCAAGCTAAAATAATTAAAAAATAACAGCGATGACTAGCTGAAGAATTCAAACCCATCGTGCAACAAAGGGTTTCCTAGCTAGTAAGTAGAACTGGCTGGTGGTCCCAGTCCAATATGTTTGTGAAAGTCTTTTCCTGCACACTATGTCCCTGTTTTTTCTTTAACTTGTTAAACTGCCAATATTTCTTGATTCCTTTATATCGATATCAAATATAAATATCAGTTGTGAAAAAGGCTTTTTGGCATTTGTGAAGCTATACCGCTAGACTCTGCTGCTAAGGTCAAAAAAATAAATGTCTTTACACATGTGGAATAATTTAAAGGGCAAATAAACAGCCTTTCCAGGAATAAACCTTATTGCTTTGTTACAAAGATGTAATCTACCTGAAAAAGCCTGACCTTTGTGTTGAATTTCTTTAAATAATTTGTTACCTTACGAGTGTTGGAGCCATTTAAAAACAACACTTCATGTCAACTGAAACTTTTAATCACATCCAAAACATACATTGGTGATTACTTAAATTTCCATCTTTACTGCTAAGAATTTTAACTTTTTTATTTAGACTCAGCAAAACTATCTTTCTAATTCAGGAAAGATAAACAATGAAGAAACCAACTGATCTTTTACATCGACATCTGTCCTTTTAAATTTTGGCCCAAGCTTACTAGATGAGGCCATAGCCATGGTCACATTCTCACCAACAGATAATGGACGAGTCCAGTCCTGGTGAGTAAGCAGAGCCATTTTTCTTTTTCCAACACTGAGAGCTGAAAGTAAATACGGGCACCACCGTGGGGAGGGTCATGTGAGCGAGCAGCTAGAGGGAGCTGTGCCAGGAAGGTTGTGTAGGACATGAACAGTGGGACTGCTGTGTTGGATAACAGCTTTTCACTGCCATGAAAACACATGCAAAGTCACAATGGCATGAAAACTGAGACAAAGGCACAGTCAGGCTCTGAGCAAACATGCCGAGAGTGGGAGGGAAATGGTGAAGTGCTGATTCTCCCAGTCAGACAGTTGAGTGTCCAGCAACAAAACGCTGATTTACATTAAAAGGAAGTCTATAGATTCTTACGAGTCCAGTTCAGTTCTTAGAGTGCATCTTCTTTATGGACTGTATCACAGAGCCATTATGGAAAAGCTAAACAAAAAAAAAAAAAAAAAAGTGAAACATGACTCATTTGTTTTGCATGTGTTTTAAATCATAAAACTTTAAACTCATTTACTTTTAAAATAATGCCTTGTTCACAGCCCTGCAAAAGTGTTATTACCCTTTGGTTTCACATTTTATCAAGCCAAGTTTACAACCTCTATTACATTTTCAGGGATTTTTAAGTGATAGATTAACTCAGATGAGTACAAAACAAAGATGAAATGACAAAAAAAACAAAACAAAAAAAAGTTAAATTTCTTCAAGAAATCTTCTACTTCTCAAATATGTCCTTCTAAATGGGTTTGATACTTTGCAGTTTTAGGTCAGGAAGTATTTAAAACCTTAAGGTCACGTATAAGGTCAACATTCCTCTTAGCAAACTGGTTCAAGTTCAGTTAGATTAGACAGAAAAAGTCAGTAGACAAGTCATAAGTCATAGACTAATAATACAAATAGAAGCCTGTGTTAGTAACGGGGCAACATTATTTTTTTAAGGCAAAAGCTTTACAAGGCACTCAATGTGTGTCAAGATTCTATGACTTTTAGTTTTGCTATACATATTTTTTAATATCTGTGGTGGCAAAAGTTATAAAGGCCAACCTATTATAACTATAATTTTGCTCTTGCATCAAATAAAACAAATGTTACATTTACACAGTAATGCTAACTTTAAATGCTAGTATGTTTCAGTAGCTGCATTGACTTGCAGTAGAATTAACCAGAGGATTTCAACCACTCCTATTTCAGCCTTATCTCTAGAGAAACTTTGACATTTCACTGTTGCAGTTTGTCAGTCAGCTTCAGATAGTAAAATACTGCTCCAAAGTCCATCCCTACTGCTAATGTCCTGAAATGGCTGATGCAACATAACACTATATGTATATATGTTTAAGATTTTAACTGTTTTGTTTTTTTAAACAAGTCATTTATTCTTTTGTGCAAGTTTAGCTTTAGATTTTTCTCCAGTACATTTGTGTCCTTTTGTCTGTTTATTCTGAAACGGAAAAGCTGTAAATAAACATGGAAAATGCTCAAAATTGAAGGTTACAAAGTTAAATTGACTTATTTTGCTCAACACCAAGCATTAATGTGCAAAAGTATGAACTAATGTTAATTTCTTCATACGGTGCAAAAAGATAGACCTCATCAAAAGGTCTGTGACATACCTGTTTACACTTTTTTTTTTAACAATATAAAAATAAGCCAAGTGCATTTAATAATAATAATATACAACTTTTATTAGTAGCTCCTATTTGTTTTGAGTCAAAAATAAAATAAAAAAATCAGGTAATTGAGGAGTCCCACAAGGATTTAAAAAAAGTGAAATAAGTGACAAGTTTAAATGCTTACTTTGATTAACTGTAATAATAATTTGTTTAAGAAAGCTGCCTTAGAGATCCATCTATAGGCTACACCATATGGCATTGTGTTCTCTTCTGTAGAGCATCCTGTTTTATTTGTGGTACTTTTTTTTAAATCTTATTTTTTACATATTTGACTTTAGTAAAAGAAAAATGAAAATCAGTGGCAGGCTGTAAAGGATAAAGGGACGATATAGATTGTTAATAATTTGCATCAATACTGGTTCAGCCTTCAGTTTGAGATCCTTCTTTGTCTAAAAGTTTTAACACTAAAACAGAATTATTGAAAATGTAAATCAGATCAAAATGAGATTTTAAGTGACCTACAGGATGAATACATTCTTTTATCAAGTTTGAGTCTCTTTTCTTGACTTGTCAAGTAGTGCCTAAATATTAAAAATGCTCGGAGGCCTCAACACTTCTGAAATCACACATTCTTAAGGGCTGAACCCAACAAAAAAAAATATTGCTTAAAAGAATAAAATGGTTAAAATTATGTTGAAATGAAATAATTTCTTCTCTTTCTGTCTTTTCCGTTCTAAATTCTATGCATACTTTAACTGTTTGTAAGATCAATGAGTAAGCTTATTTTTCCTGTTTCCTATTGAGCAAACTGCTAAACTGAGCCCCTCCTCCACAACTTTACTAATACTGTAGTAATTGCAACTGGCTAATCAGATTAAAGAGATATAAACCCTTTTGCCTAGATTAAGACCACATTAAGACCAAGTATATTTTAATGGGAGTATGTTATAGGCTTCTGATCCATAATTAGAAAACCCAATGTAAGTTTCCTACTCATCCATCGTAAAAACAAAATACATGGGTGCAAATGTGAAATTCATGTAATAATCTTGTTAAATGTGCTGTTTTTTCTAATCATTAAAAACAAACTATACTAATTCTGTTAATTAAAAAAAAACTTAATGTATGAATTATGAAAACAAGGCAATGTTTCATCCATCATCCATGAACTTGACTTGTTTAAAATATCCATTGAACATTAAGATTCTTAAACATCTGAATTTTTCTGATGGTTGCTTGTATCTACTTTCAGATTGCAAACCAAGTTTGTGTCCTTGGAAGGCAAATATGAACAAATACGGGGTTTTCTTCCACCTCATGATAAATGCATTATCTGAGACCTGTCTGTGGATATTTGTTATGCTCTCTTGAACAGCTTTTAAGTGCATTTTTACAGCACTTTTGTTGACTCACCAATTAAAGCCACGTGTTGAGGAGAAGGTAAACCTATATGCTTCAGCTGCAGGTGGGTTTAGCCACAGTGAATCACTCTTCATAAACTTTCCATCTGAGCTGTCAGAGTGAGGCTCCTCGGTATAGATTGCTGCAGCGCTTAGCGTGTTTTTCGTGAAGCAGAGGGACATTAATAACATATGCACAACAAAGAGTTGTATAACAAGCCTGCTCGGTTACATGAGTGCTGCCCCGGGGGAACTGAGGGCGCCACATCCTTCCTGCTTACTAAATATTTTATGGAAAAGTTATGAATCCTCCCAAAAGGAGGCTTCAAACAGATTGCATGTGGAGGTCCGACCCTCTGATGTCCCACTGAGTTAAACAAACATTTTAATTACCGCTTTGCTGCTGTCAGCGCGCTCCTCGCGGCTCCTAGTCCCTGCGCTGGTGGAGGCGGCTCTGGTCTGCATGCTGCTGGTGTCACCTGGAAACAAAGCCTTCGTGTCTCCTCTGAGCATTGAGTTAGAAAATCGCTGAATGCTTCTGGGTGCGACCCGCTCTAAGAGTCCCCAGTCTGTTACCAAACAAGCCGAGCTGTCCCACTTCTGGACGGGCTCTGCTTGTTGGTGCGCGTGCTTCGGCTGGAGCCCGCCGGCGCACGCGCTGAGGAACCGAAGCCGCTGAAAGCTGCGGCCTGTCCGGCCTGTCAGGGAGACCTCTCCCGGTCCGCTTGCTTTGACCCGCACCACAAACCAGCCCGGACGTTTGTAAGCCTGATCCAGTACAGACGCTGGCAGCCTCCCCGCACGGCACAAAAACATTGTTGGTGCGCCTCCACTGGCGAGGTTAGAGTGTCCAGAAAATCAAATTAGGCGAGTTACTCGACCTGAACAATTAATTATTAAAGTGGGTGGCGGTAAACATGCTGCCCTGTGGCCCCTGGTGTCCCCTCCGGTCCTCCTGTAGTCCGATTATTGCAGACAGCCAATCCGGACTGACGCGCAACCGCAGATAGTTAAATCCAGAGAGGAGGGAGGGGGTATTTAAAGGCATAACCGTGTATGTTTATCTAATAGAGTTACATCATAACCCGAAGATTAAATTAAGATAAGTTTAGCTTTTTAAAAAAAAAAAAATAATCTAAACATGTTTAAATTAGGCTTCCTGTCTATGATCTCCATTTACCAAAAAGAACTGGCTGCTGAGTTTTTGAGTTAAATAAGCCACAAATCAATCAATAATACCCAGAGGCGTAGCCAGAACATTTTTATAAGGGTGGCCAGGCAATAACCAATGTACACTGAGGGGGGGCCTAAAGCAGATAGGCAACAGAACCTTAGAGTCAATCTACACTGTTCCAACAGAAAAGTTGGACTTAGACAGCCTCCACACGTCACAGCGTCTAAGTCTAAGCGAAAATTCGTTTGGAACAGCTCTCTGAACAATTTCATCCTTTTTAAAGTGCAGCCTTGAAAAATAGTTTAAAAAATTTTTTACAGATCTAAATTTTTTTAATATATATAATGATAAAATATAACAAATATAATAAAATACAATACAATAACGCATTTTACAAAAATTCAGCAGTCTAATTGCAGTGGGGAAGAAACTGTTCTGGAATCTGCTGGTCCTGCATCCGATGCTTGAAGTCTCTTCCCAGAGGGCAGCAGGGAGAACAGTCCATGGTGGGGGTGTGAGGGGTCATTTATGATGTTACAGGCTCAGGACACCCAGGGCTGGGATGACTTTTTTTTATGGACGAAAGAGGAGCCCCGATGATCCTCTCTGCTCTCCTCACCAGTCTTTGGTGCTGCAGCCTCCACACCTGTGAGGCAGCTGGTCAGAACGCTCTCTATTGTGTTTCTGTAGAAGGTGGTGAAGATGGGTGGGGGCAGGTAGGCTCTCCTCATCCTCTACAAAAAGTACATGCGCTTCTGCATCCTTTTGATCAGTGAGATGGTGTTTACATTCCAGGTGAGGGTGTCTGTGATGTGCACCCCCATGAATTTGGTGCTGCTGACCACATCTACAGCTGAGCTGTTGATGAGCCGTGGAGCGTGGTTAGGTCGGTTCTTCCTGAAGTCCAAGATGATCTCCTTCGTCTTCTCCACTTTTCAGGATCAGGCTGTTATCTTTGCACCAGTCCACCAGCTACCCCACCTCTTCTCTGTAGTCCAGGTCATTGATTTAATTAGCAAAACATCCATATTTTCTAAATAAAGACAAACTATACTTTCCTACAGCCTTTGCTAACAAGTAAGCGCATATATTTAAACATCTGTGCTTTTTAAATAAAAGGTATAGTGATAAAATTCTTTCAGTTTTGGGATCGGGGCATAAATCTTTTCCATCATTATTACTTACCTACTTGTATCAATAAACATTCTGCATAAAATTGATATTTACAAGCACAAATATCTACATAAATTGATTATTTGATACGTTTTTATTTAAATTGTTATTTATCTATGATTTCACTGAAGACTACCAGAGGACTTGCAGAGACACATAATTTTCTCTTTACCCCATATAACACAAAATCTAGTTCTGAAAAGAGCATGAATTCTGTATTTCTCATCTTTGATGTCAGTATATTGATGTGTATTATTAACCATGAAAAATTTTAATGTTTTGAATATTCCACTTGAGAGTATTACTGCTGTCACCATCTGTATTAGAGGGAACAAATGGTAGGGGTGGCCACAGGGGTGGCCAATGCTTGGGTAAGGGTGGCCATGGCCACCCCTGGCCCCCCATCTACTCCACCCCTGATAATACCTAATATCAAGCAAACGGCAAAAAAAAATATTTAAGGAATCAATATATTGGTGGATATTTGATCCTTACACCACATCAAACACATTTCCATGAAATGATGCAAAGGTTTCTGCACATCCTGACTTTATATTGAATATAACCCCTGTGATAAGCTACAAAAAAAACATATGACTAGTTTTCTTATAGATACTTTTTAATAAATGAGAATGTTATAAAATACCCACTGTCTCTTTTACTTGATCTACCCAGTAATTCAACTCATTGGACCCGATAATTAGATTTATCACTCGGACTGATTCAGTTCAGTTTGAATTCAGTTCATCTATGTTGCACCAATTCACAACACGTCACTTCACTTTACAGAGATAGATTGTTTCACAGTTTTCTAAGGAAAACCAGTTGATTGCAGAGCAAGTTCCTTCTGCATGAGCATGTGACAGTTGATATTTGCTTGTATCTTGTTGTTGACTCGACAGCAATCCCTCACAGCAAGGATGCGTGAAGTGACAATAGAGAGGAAAAACTCCACATTTAACAGGAGGACACCTCCATTAGGACCAAGCTCAGTGTGAGAGGCCAACTGGGGTTACAAAGAGATAGAAGCAGTCATAGAAAAAGAAGCAGACATGCAAAACAAACATAGAAGCAGCATTGACCTATAAATACTTATGTTAGAAAAAGTAACAGGAAACTAGCTGCACAGGTTTTCTGTCAGTATCACATAACCACATCCAGAAGTTCATTTTTATAGCTATGCCTCTCATTTCAGAGTACTTTATTGAAACATGATGCCAGTGTTTGTGAAGGAGTATGATATGTTGACCCTTATTTAGGTAAATACAGTTTATGGAGAGCTATGCCATTTTGATAGGTTAGTTTGAATAAAAATATCTCGATAGGTTAGATGTTTCATAGGAAATACTGTGTTGGGGTAATACCGTAGTAATGTTGCCTGAAATTCATGGATGAGCAATGTAAAAGCTTTGATTGCAGCATATTACCCAAAGGTAACAAAGTGGGCTACATTAATAATTGGCAATCCTTTTGGGGAAACCTGGTCTGATTCGGTGAGACTGCATCCATCCCACTTTGGATGGTGCAGCTCTTCTTTCTAGAAATCTGGACGAATCCATTAGTCCTCTATAACACTTACAACCCAGGGTGCAGACCAGGAAGCAGAGTCATATTTTATCACACCTCTCTGCAGCTTCTCTACTGTTACGCAGTCACTACTGTTACACAGTCACTCCGACAGAAAATCTCTGATGTCATCACCCTAAGCACAGGCTTCAGTTAGGACTGTGCCCTGAGCCCCCTGCTGTTCACTCTGATGACACACCACTGTGTCACCAGGTTCACCACCAACCACATTGTGAACTTTGGAGACGATACCATGGTGGTGGGCCTCATCAGAGACGGAAAAATAACAGCCTGATGCTTAACGTGGAGAAGACGGAGATCATCGTCGACATCAGGAAGAACAGGCCTAACCACACTCCACTGCTCATCAACAGCTCAGCTGTAGAGGTGGTCAGCAGCACCAAATTCCTTGATTTGTCATGATCTGCTCCAATAGCTGGCCTTAATTGCTCATTTCACTCACCTGCTTAGTCTGCCCAGTTCCCAATCATCTCTGATCTCATCCACCTGTAGGTTCTGCTTTATATTCAGTCCAGCCCAATCATCAGGGCCAGATCGTTGTATGCTTTCTGTTTGCTCCCTGTTTTATTTCTGTTAGTGTCCTGTCAGTTTACCTAGTTTTAGTTATTTCTAAAGTTCATGTTCCAGTGAGGAGTTTATTCTCTAGCCAGTGTCCTCAGGCGAGTATTCAGTGACCAGTGGTGAGAGCGTTTCAGCGTTTCCCTTGGGGTTCTGTTTTCCTGATTCTGTTCCCTCTCACCCACTGGCCCTCTCTGTCCCTGCCTGATCTGTTCGCCTGAACCTCGGTTGGCCTCCTCCTGGATTCTGCCTCCCAGGGTGTGTTTCTGTCTGAGCTGGATGCTCAACGCACGGGACTCTGAACCCATCCTCCAAGATATGTTGCTGTCTGAGCTGGATGCTCAACGCACGGGACACTGAACCTTCCTTCGCGCTCTGATGGATCCTAGAACCCGGATCTGTCCATTCCTGAGTGAACTGTACTGTTAAACCAGCTAAGTGACTCACTCTAATCATTTTCTGTTCAGGTGATAGTGGTCACTTACCTGTGTTTCTCTCTACTGAATCAGTGATGGGTTGTGCTCCGCACCTGCGGTTGCTGCAGTTGCAGTTCCACAGCAGCGTGTTTCTGTTCTGTCTGATTTGGTTTTAATAAATGTTTTGAACTTTCCTACTGGCTGTCTCACCTTGAATATTGGGTCCATTTGTTTGGCTTTATGACAGGGGTTGCACATGGCAGGCAACCTCACCTGACTGTAAACACTGCCTCACTGGTCAAAAGGGCACAGAAGCACTTGTACTTCCCACCCATCCTCACCACCTTCTACAGAAGCACCATAGAGAACGTTCTGGCCAGGTGTCTCACTGTGGGGTGTGGAGGCTGCAGCGCCTCAGACTGGAAGAAAGTGAGAAGAGTCTTGAGAACAGCAGAGAGGAACTCCTTTTTCCCAGTAAGGTGATAATCTCTTGGATGTAGGGAAGAATGGAGCATTTTGAATTATGTAAGCGAGAGTAATAACTTCATTCTAAATTTTAAGTTGCTATTTCTGTTTATTTATGATGATTGATGTTTACAGCTAATAAACCCCCGTAATTAGATGTAATAATTACAGCATCAGCCTACATAAGATAAAACTAAATTGCATGTTATTTGTTCTACAAACATTAAATTAGATGACACTTTTTGCTGTTTTAGATCAGTGAGGATCATTTAAAGTTTTTCAACTGCTAAACGATTAGATAATTATAGGGAGAGAATGCAAAGTAATTAAAGTTCCTATGATCTTAACAAAACTAGGAAAGAGGATGGAAGCCAACAAACCTGACTAAGTGATACCAGTGCTGAGGAAAGGGCAAATAATTGCAATGCATGATTTTTGAAAAGACTGCAAAAGGGTTGGCTAAATATTTGATAGAAATGCAGCTTTTAAAAGCAATTTTGATAAATAGTAAGAAAGTGTAATTCAGACTTTAATTTGAATATAGTTTAAAAACATTATCTAAGCATTTTATCTTGATCTTTATTATGTAATTTAGCAAATGACAATAATCAAAATAATACCCACTGAAGAAAGAAAATATATC